TTGCAACCTCCACCATCAGGGCGACGAATAAGACTAGGGTATAGCAACTTCAAGTAAATCTTTCTCCCGTTGTAAGATGTCGCTCATTTAGATAATTCGTATCTCGATAATCGATACATTCCATGTACATAGATATGTAGTATTATTGTCTCCTTATTACACTTTGTTAAAAAATATTTTTGTAAACAATGAGATTAAAACAGAGGAGACACATGAGAAATGGTTAATTAAAATATAATTAGTTTTAATGCGATATTGAAGTTTCTGATTTCTAGGACAAATATGTGAATAAAATTTATTTTGACGTCACGTCATAGATTGAAGATTTTAGTTACTACATGCGTGAAAACTAGATGCATGCTATTTTCTTAACAATCAGGCATTCTGGGTTGGCCATGACGACATTAGTTTGTCATTATGTAGTAAATTTGCGATGAGATTTGATGCTTTTGCAGTGGTGTAGTAAACTGAAATTATTGTTTTTTGTGTTACGACGCCATGTGGTCTTTTACGTATGTACTTATCATCGTCTCCGAGAAACTTACCTCTTCTATCTTCACAATAAAGGTTTAGACATATGTCATGAAGATGGAAGCAGTTTCTTCGAAACACTGGTAACAATCCAATTTACCGAAGAAATTCTAGTATCCATAGAACACATTACAAGTTTTTAAATGGATCTCACAGAATTTTGACTGGGAAAAATTACACCCCTTTTAATTAGTTGAAAGGTATTAACTCTTTCATGTATTACTAATTGATAGTGATTTTTGCATTGTGCTGTCATCTTGTCAAATTTTGTCTAAATTGAGTGTAGGAAAGTAATGCGTAACCAATCAGAATCAAGTCATGGATAGGGATCTAAGGAGAATGTAATCATTGACAATGTCCTTTGTCCATTGAGATCTTCTTGTAAAGACGACGCCTGAAAGAAGAGCTCTCTAAACAAACGTCTTGATTAATAGTAATATGAGTAATGTACCCAACCAAAATGGATCAGGTCTAGAGCAGCAGGTAAGTTCATATTTTCAGCATTTTCAGTGTAGAATGGGTAGGAAGAGGATAAAAAATCACTGCCAAAGTGAAGCTGCCAGTTACAGGCCTTCAAGTCCTATGTTATCGATTTATAATATTTTAAAATCGTTGTCTTGTAGTCTTTTGGAATGTGGGGGCATCACGATTTATTGCTTCATTCACTAGAGTTTTATTCATTTGATGCAAAATTTCGATTTTTTTATTACGTAAGCATAAAACAGAAATTAACAGGATTTTTATTCTACGTGTCCTGTAATGGCGGCTTATAACTTTGTGGCAGTGAAAATAGTACACAAATATTTTATTCTGTAACAGCATCATTTTCTTATTATAAAATAAGGTACTATAGAGTTTAAAATAAGAAGCTGGAGTCTGACGGTGTGTAAGGTATATAAATCCTGTTAGAAATATGTTATTTGCTAGGTTGTAAATCATTGCCATTTGTTTCCATCCATTTTATTAAAATTTTACAGTGTCATGTGATTTAATAAATTGTTTTCACTGCTTTTATGTTTCTTTAACATCAAGTAAACAAATTGATTTCCTCATAGTTTGCTGGTCTGGACTTGCAGGGCGGCCGCCAGCAATCAGGTGGCCGCTACGTGCCCCCACATCTTCGTAATAAAGTAGCAAGTAAGTAAGAATGTATGCTGTGTTCTTATTACGGTTTCTTTTCCGCAGTTTGCTTGGAAGATTCGTTATAGAATTTGAAAGTATTGGCCTTGTTTAGACTTTAATGTGAAAGTATGCAGCATGGATTTAGACAGTTGTCCAGTTTTTTCTAGGTCATAAATTTAGTGATGTGAGCTATATTTTGTGCAGGTGTATATTTTCTTTGTTTTATCGAATGCATATTAATTTGTTGCAAGTTTGTTTCCTGAAGTTTTGAGTGTGGTGTTACATGTTAGAAGAGTTGGAAAGGGCATTGAACAGGAATTAAACTGTAACAGTTTTTAATGTTGGTTATTTTGATTACAGTATTAACTTATGTGGACATTTGTTTTAATTTTAGTTGTTTGTTCATTAATAGCAGACTATCAAGGGGGCGAGCAACAGTACTACGACAGTCGGGATAGTCGGGAATACCGCAGCCAGGGGAGAGGGAATTATTCAAGAGGTAAAAGGTCCATTTTAATTTACAGGGTTGATTCCCTTGCTGGTGGTTTTCTAGTATAGCATGCAAGGTATATTTTTAAATTATACCTTGTAAATATAACTTAAAACTATGACTGGGGAATTATTACAATTTTTGGAAGGAGTTGGTGTATTTTGACTTGAAGTATTTGCATTGAGTTATATGTCTTTGCTTAGAAATGTATGTAATGGTGTTTGTCTGTTTGAATAACCAAAACTTCAGTTTTTTATGTTTATTCTTTAAACAGGGTACAAGAAATTAACACCATATAGTAATGTCATAATCTATTTATTTATTTCTAAAACTAAAACCTCTGAAGATTATGATGAACATTTTCATTGTAGTCCTACACAGTATTCTTTGGTGAATTTCGTTTTGATCTATAGAAAAAAATGTCTTGTGTTAACAACATTTTAAATTAAGTTTGTGTATAGACTGGAATAATAAATACATACTTAGTTCAACACAAACATGACGCATCTAAGCTACAAACTACAAGACTTTATTGTTTGTACTCACTTATCACAATGAGAATGTCTTCAAGTAAATTTGTATTTACTATACATGATTGGTTATATATTGTAGCGGTTTAGAGTTTGTAGTATCTCCAGGTTGAAAACTTTGGAAGACAAAGTAACAAATAATATGAGATGGCGTGAACATGTTTTAAGAATGAATGAAAGGATAGAATTTCATAGAAGGTTTTGAATGTGAAAGTGAAATTAAAATATCCCAAAGGGGGATCAAGATGGGACTAGTGGGTTAGGAAAGATGTCGTATATGGAGAAGGAATGCCATTGAAATTAATTCCAAAGAAAGAGTTGTGGAAAGACAGGTAAACGGAGAAGCTTGGATGTCAGGCTATACACTTATCCCATTGAAACTAAGCTTGTCTAATTAAAATTTAAAAATTATAATTCAGCATTTTCTGTGTAAGTATTTGTATAGTTTATGTAATAGCAGGTGCTGATTAAGAATTTATTTAGTGTTAAAGAATGTGTTGTGGGATGTAATACATTCTTTCACATAAACAAGGCAGGTTTAACTCAACTGTAATATGTCATGCTTCTTATCTTTGAGAATTTCAGTTAATTTTTATTAACCTTCCCATTTTTATCAGTGAAGACAAAATTAACTTCAAAAAAAATTCTTTCATATTCTTTTCATTTCCTGCTTTTTCAGCAAGTTCATTTACCCACTTCCTTTTGTCTGCTCCTGAACTCCACCTAACTTCCTTATCCCTTTCACTGTAATCTGCTTGCAATTCAGCCTTTTGTCTTCTAGTTTTGCTACAGTTTATTTTTTCTTTTACTTTTTTCCTTTCTTCGACTTTCACCCAAATTTCCTCCGTCATCCATTCTCTCCTCTTGTTATTTTTAAGTCCAACTATTTCCTTGGCCGTCCATAGAACCATATCTTTAACCTTTGACCAGTGATTCTCTTATCTCATTGTTCTCCAGAGAGCCCATTTGTTAATATTTATTTCAAAGCTGTAACTGAAATTTGTGTTTGCACTTCTGTTTTTGTAATTTTTGGATATCAAGTCATTTCTTTTGTGCCTCAAATTTCTTTTTTGCCACAGATATTTTTATTTGTACTTTTTCAGTCGTAAGATGATGGTCGCTATCGATATCTGCCCCACGTTTATTTTGCACATCTCATACTACAACTTAATTGAATTTGTCTAAATCTAGAAGTTGCTCTTCCAGTACCTTTTTCTTTTGCCCTTGGTTGAAAAGAGGTACCTTTACCAAATTTTAAGTTTCCAGCCTTCTTGGTTGGTTCACACATCTGTTGGCTTTCCTGCCATCATCTGAGCTTGCTGTGTTGGGTAATCAAACCCTGTACTTCTTTTTTCTATAAATGTAAACACATTGTTACAGTCCCTAGTCTGAGTCTGTAGCTTTTTCCCTTTCAGTGTGGAGATAAGCAGAGGCATCTTAACATATCGCTAGCACTTTTCAACAATAAAAGAAATATGTTTACTCAGTATGGAGCAATTAGTCACTGTAAATCAAAAATTAATTGTTATTGTGGGAGGTCTCTAACATAATGAATTATTCTCAGGCTACTGGGGTGAGGACGAAGGTGGTTCTCAAAACGTCATTAAAGCATCTTACATTCCTGGTAGCCCAAGAAGAGTTCATTTTACATGGTTGCTGTGAAAGCTTCAGATCATATGTCACTAACATGCTTGCGAGGGTTAATTAGGGTTCTAATGCTTCTAGTTATAGTGAGCCAATTGTGCAAATGTGGCACTCATTTTTAGCCTAATATTTAGATCATAAATACATTGGATATGTACCATTTAATAAGTTTTATTTATAGTATTTCTTCTACTTGGAAACCTGTCTGAAATAAAAAATAAAATTCCATTATAAGCAGGCTCCATTGTGTATGCATGTATTTGTGCAGGTATATGTTTTGTAATCCAGCTTCAGATATAATGTAGAAAGTTCTATAGTCTATATCTTACAGAATACCTTGAAAGGACATTGCACTCCAGTTTTTACAAATCACAAAAACCACTGAGAAAATTAAGTTGTGCTGATGACTTGTAAGGAACTATAATTCTTAGTTTGATCTGTAGATTCCTTAAATCTGAAAATAATTATGGGAGAATGGAGATGAGTCTGCCACTTCTGTAGTAAGTTAGGAACAGAAGCTCTTACATGCTATATAAACAGTTGCAGATGGTTTAACATACTGTTATTTCAATTAACTTAAAAATGATCACTATAATTACTTATTATTACACAATTCACACATTCTTAAAATAAATAATAGGGCCAGTTTGATGTATTACTGAATATAAAACTTGAGTGGATGGCACCATTTGGGAGACCTTGAAGCATAGGGCATTTTTATTGCAGTTGATATGTAGTACTTCATTTATTGAATTGTGGACTGGCTTACAACATGTGAATGTGTTCTGAAATATGATATTGACCACATTGAGGACAGTAAAAATTAGTGGCACTTAGTTGTACCACTGTTTTCACTGAAGAATAAGTAGAGAGGCAGAGTCAGTAGCAGCCAGCTACATATTCTACAGCAAGTAAATTATTTTTCTCCTGTCATACACAGTGGCAGCTGGTATACACCAAATACATCTGAGGCATCCAGTTTAACATTTCATTACTGTTTTTTCATACCAATTGTCTTTACTATTAGGAACACTTAGTATGTTTGTGCCACTTTTCTTTAATTTTAGTTTTCTTATGCAGAGCTTTTGCAGTGTTGTTGCCTGCCTCAATAATACACATTCCTGATATTTCACAAAACCCAGCATGATCAGTTTGTTCATGCATTATTAGCAGTGCTCATCATCTTGACTGTGATTGTGTTTTTGTTATGCCTAGTAGAAATAATTGTGAATTAGTGCATGAAAAGCTATGCTAATGCAACTCTGTCACCAAAGATTACAAATACAGGTTCTGAATGAAGTGTGTACATGGTTATGTTGTTTCATTGTAGACCATATGTTCATACATGCAGAAATATATCCACAAGTATTGACAAACTTATATGTTATGTTGAAGTGTAATAAAATGTCTTTTTTAGGACCAAGTTTTTATTCCAATATTCTTCAAGCTCGGTTTTCTAATTACTTCACACTTGATAAACTGTTGTGGTCACAATGTTTTCTCTTACAACTGATCGGCCATATCATGTTTTATATATAATTTTCTTTCATTATCCTCCTGTGCAAATGAACATTTTTTGTGTCAGACATCTCTTGCTCAAAATACTTTGGTGTTTGTGAATTAACCCTTTCTATTCTTATTGCAGTCTTTAGTTCTACATTATAGGCCCTAAAGAAGTGGATTATATAGAAAAAACAAGCACATAAGGAGATACATGATTTAATGTGCATATTTTAAAGGTGGTTGAATAATTGTGTTCAGTATCTTTATCACATCCTGTGGCTTTCCATTACAATTGTTACACAGGCAGTCAACAAGGTCGTAGTGGCGACTACGGTAGCAGTTACCGCAACAGGCGGAACGAAGGAAACTATAGTGGTCAGCCATACACTAATGGAGGAGATCACTGGGGAGGAGAAGGAGGTAGCTACCGCCCTGCAAGCAGGTAAATAATTTTTCTGTTTATTCCTACAAGTACAGGTAACCCTCAATTTGCGCCAATTCAGAATAACGCCGATTTTGAAACCAGCAAGTCAAAAAGTGAAAAAAAATATTTTACTGTTATTTATATTGTTTTGTACTGATTCTTATAATAAATCGTAATTCTTACATCGCTGATTTTGAATAAAAATTATAAATACAGTCATCTCTGCAATTACGTATGTTTCGTTAATGCGAATTTGCTCCAATGCGATCGAAGAATCCGTAAAAGCTGTTTGTGAAATGCAAACTTTTGCATATGCGAGTTTGCTCTTATGCAGTTTCATTCCTGGCGCTTTAAACTTTCAAAGAAGTAATTTAATCTCTGTGGAAGTACCAGGGTTATTTTTGCTACACGATTTTCTATAGGTCGGTGTCTTACATGAATGCAACTATCGCATAACAGCAGAAATGACTGTACACATCAATCACATGAAAGAATCGCGGGGACCAACAAATTGCAGATTGTAAGTGTATAAAATATATATTTTTAAATTCCCTTTATTTTATTTACGTTATTTCTGAGCTTCAAATGTAAAGCCATTATATTACTCGTCAATGTTTGTGTGCTGGGAACGCATATCATTGACTTCCCATTGATTTACATCATAAAAATAGTTTCAATTTATACCGGTTCATCCAGGAATGCATCCCGGGCGTAAATCAAGGGCTACCTGTAGTTGAAACCATTAGTCATTAAACTAGTTTTATAGAGGCACAGGATTCTTTGTGCAGCAAGTTCTGTTAACTTGTATTTGCAGTAATTTCTGTGCAAAATTATTGGAAATCTCCCCTAAGCCAAAGATGTTTGTGAGATGGTAATCACTTATGCCTTAGGATGTGGGAGGTACAATGAAACAACATAGGCATAAAATAGTTCCACAGGACAGAAAATAGGAATTCAATAATTTATTTCTGATTTTGCAAAATTTGATTTGTTTGTTTATTTATTTATTTATCATTTATGTAAGTCAGGCTCTATGGTAAACACATTTCTGTTATTAATTGTTGTACAAGTGATTTATTTTAAAAATGGTAAAACACCAGTCATCAAATGTGTAGACAAGTTCTTAATTTTGAATCTTATTTTTGTCATACTAATGTTTCTTTGTTATTGCGTATCGTTAGGAAGTACAGTATGTACTAGGGTCATTCTCCACAAATTTTGATAATGACAGGGAATTTTCTTGCAGGGATAGTGATTGGGGTGGTCGAGGAGGTGGCCGTTGGCAAGAAAGAGGAGGAAATGAACCTCCCCCACCACGCAATGATCGGTGGCAGGAACCACAAGGTGGACGAAACTTCAGTGGTGGCGGCGGTGGCGGCGGCGGCGGCAGCAGCAGCAGTGGTGGTGGTGGAGGAGGAGGAGGAGGAAGTAGTAGCAACAGTGGAGGAGGTCGCTGGAAAGAAGGCCATTCTCAGGAGGTGGACTGGACCGTTCCCACAGCAAGGGATGAACGTCTTGAATTTGAGTTGTTTGGTTCAGGCAATACTGGTATCAATTTTAACAAATATGAGGACATTCCCGTGGAGGCGACGGGAGACAACGTACCAGATCACATTATCAGTGTGAGTAACCATTGTTATGGATTTGTTGTGGTATCTTTTTAAATGTTCTTGACTAATCTTATTTTCTATGTGAATGGATGTTTGGCCATGTCTAGTAATTATGAGTTCTAACCATTTCTGAGGTACATATTTACCTGAAACTATGGCAGTTCTTTGATGTTTTATGGCAATTTTTTTTATTTCCCACAAAACAATTTAGCATTTTTGTTGTCACAAATCACCGTTTTTGTTAAAATTGCACTTAGTAATCGTAAGTGGCCTAATGTATACATTTTTTTTTTGGGGGGGGGGGGGAAGAGTACAAAGGGCACGTCTGACTTTTACTGCTGTAAAGTGTATTTAGCCTGTATGGCTGATTTAAATTTGAACATGCTGAATCTTGCTACTGAAAAATTAGTAGGAGGCTGTACAAACCATAAGTGTTATGAAGTTCAGCATGTTTAGCGGTCATTTTACCATTTTTAAAAATTTTAATATTTTAAGATGGTTAAAGACTACTGACGTGTGCCCCAGGACACATAACTTGAAATATATTTTCCTGTTTTGTTTCAAGTTTGATGATGTGCAGATGACTGAGATAATCTCCAATAACATTGTACTGGCACGATATGATAAGCCAACACCAGTGCAGAAATACGCTATTCCAATTATAATGGCTCGGCGGGATCTAATGGCCTGTGCCCAGACAGGATCTGGTAAAACTGCTGCTTTTTTGGTCCCAATTCTAAATCAGATGTATGAAAGAGGACCACAGCAAGCTATAATCAATGTTAGGGTAAGTTATAAAATTTGTGAAGTTTTTGTTTTATTTATTTATTTATTTTTGAAAGCATAAAGATTGACAGTTGCTTGCTTATGTTTCAGTCGTATGGTCGTCGCAAGCAGTACCCACTTGGCTTGGTGTTGGCCCCAACCAGGGAATTGGCTACTCAAATATATGATGAGGCTCGCAAATTTGCATATCGTTCCCGCTTGCGTCCTTGTGTTGTGTGAGTGATTTTTGTATACATACCAGTTAGAAGAGGAGGAAAGCAATACAATTGGCACCATTTTTAGTTTTCCAATGTGAGAGTATCCTCTTAGAAATTTTAGATCCTTTAATGCTTATCAGACAATTTCTTAATAATATGGTTATGTTAAGTTATGTTGATGGATATTTTAATTTTATTTTTGTTGTCTGAAGAGGTCAGTGATGGAATTCATGACATTTGAAACCTGAAAAACCTGTGGAAATATAATACTGAGACCTGCTTTCTTGTAGATTGTTATCTTTATTGTTTCAAAGACACATATTAATAAAATTGTGTAACTGATGCAGGTATGGTGGTGCCAATGTGGGGGACCAAATGAGAGAACTGGATCGTGGTTGTCATTTGCTGGTGGCTACACCAGGACGTCTTGTTGATATGCTTGAACGAGGAAAAATTGGACTTGAGAATTGCAGGTAATGTACTTGTAAGCGAATCATACTATTGTGTACATGCAACAAAAGCGCTTATTGTATAAAATTAGACATTTAAATGCCATAGCTACTGGAGTACAAAATTATAAAATGTAAGTCATCTACATTCTAAGTCTGGGATCAAACCCCAATCGTCCAGCCTGTAGCTAGTCACTAAACTAACTGAGCTATCCCAGCTCCCCATAAGCTTTTCTCTAGTAAATGTTATCTATGTGTGCATAATGTCAATTTTAAATATTTCAGCAACAACAAAACATGTCATGTATATGACTTAAAATTCTGTTATATTTTATATTTGCTGTTTTTTGAGTTCTGTAAAGTTTATACTAGTGGCAATTTTAATATCTTCATCAGAATTCCTTGAATTTTTTCACTGATATAATCTGTCTTTATGATAAGCAGGTGTTGGTAGGTAAGTTGGTTAGTTGATTGATTGTTTGATCGATCATTTGCTGTTAAGGGAGTTTGGGCCTTAAGAGATAATAATTATGACTACTCTACTATGTGCATGTACTTATGTAAAATGTAGCACAGTTATTATAACTCTAATGTAAAATCATATTTGATATTGCATAAAATCATATTATATTATTTAATTAAGTGAAGTAACGAATTTAATTTTTTATTATGTAGCAATACTTAATATTAATTTTTATATGCTGTTTTGTGAAAACCATTGAAACAATAAACTTCCATATTCCATTGGCTGTTGTGTGTACATGTACTCACATACAGCATAGCAAAGCAAATATATACATGTTAACATTTTGCAGTTTTAATAATTAAGATAAATTATTTTAATTTTTGTATGCTGTTTTGTTATGCTTTTCAATAAAAATGTTTGTTTCTGTAACATTGGAACGTTCAGGTATCTGGTCTTGGATGAAGCAGATCGTATGTTAGATATGGGTTTTGAACCACAGATCAGACGTATTGTACAGCAAGATGCAATGCCTAAAACTGGTGAGAGACAGACACTTATGTTTTCTGCAACATTTCCCAAAGAGATCCAGGCAAGTATTTGATGCTACATTGTAGTATGTAATTAGTTTAGTACATATAATAAAGCTTACAGGGTAAATACATATCTGTCCATTCACTGACCTGCCCACTCAGATGTTTTAGCTACAGCTTATTCACTAGACAGTTGCAGTACTTTTCAGGCCTAATTCCAGTCCTGTTGCATGTAAAGTCAGAGTTGTCATTTTGTTTCACATTCTTAAAAAAACTTCACTCATTCAACACTTGAAGAGTTCAGGTTGCAGACATTTACATGGCCTTAAAATCTTTTGAGCTTTGGTCACTGTGTGTAGTCTCCATATACCTGCTTGTATTTTATTCAGTCAATGGCTCCTAATTACATATTTGGGAATGGTAGAAACTCAGTTTCTTAATCTGCTGATGCTGACTCACAGACAATGATTGAAACCATTTTATTGTGTGGAATGATTTTGTAGGACAGGTAGCCAAGTTTCTCCTTATGTAGAAGGTATAATTTAAATCAGAGATGATTGGGTTAGCAAAATTGCATATTTTTCAATCATCTGTTAGCATAAATCATTTTAGGTTCATATAACAAGCAGTGCTAGTGTTGCTCCCACCTCTCTGGGTCCTACATCTACCATGTTATTACCAATTATAGGATGGTCAAAATTGGGGTAACCTTTAATGGCATGACAATACCAAATTTTATCAAAATCTGTCTGGTGGTTCTTGAGTTGAAACATGGATAGATGGACAGACACTGTTATCTTTATGTGTTCATTTTATGCATGTAATGCAAAGAACATACATATCCAGAAGTTTTTGTTACACTTCATATTGGAATTCTTTTCAGCATATCAATTCTTAAAGATCTCTAGGGTTGTAATAATGCCTCATAGATGCTTACTCAAGATAATGTGAACTTCTGGAAGAATCTCAGAGGATCATGTTGATTTAAAACAGCACAAATTTATGCACCAACCTAATAATTCTTAATATACCTAGATGATATATAAAGTTGCCCCACCCCTCCAAAAAATTACACATAATCATGGTGTTTAAGCTCATCAGTATTTTATTTTCTAGAAATTCCATTCTTTTTCACAGAGTAGTGGTTTGTTTCCTATGGGTTTTACATTGGGTTTATCTAATTACAGTTTGATAATGCATCATTGGTTGCATTAATATTTATATTTGTGTCAGACATACTAATTTTACATTCTTTATGACTTTGCTTTATTCCTTCAACTTTGATTTCTGTTCTGCAGTTATATTTTGTTAAGTGTTGGTGTTGCAGTAGTTCTTATCATGAGTATGTCTGTAGCAAATCCCATTATGAGTAAATCCATCACCATCCACATGTAACTTGTTTGTTTGTGAATGTGACTAAAATGGAGATGCTGATCTAATCTGCAATAACTTTGTTCTTATGACTCACTTTATGAATGGTTTGATCGAGCGGGTTGGTGTAGCATTAATGCTCTTTAGACTTGTATTCAGGGGGTGTGTGTGATGAAAATTTAAGCCGTGCTGTTTTTTATTTTATTTTAGTCTCCAGGCTGGTGTTTTATACTAGTTTGTCATATTCCAAATCTTATTATGTTCATAACTTTCTGATAGGATCAGAGACTATATAAAAGTTGCAGCATCTGTTTACTGCATCTTTGTAATTGGTCTTATAAATTTCAAATATAATTTCTCTCAGAATATCTTATTACAAATTCTTATATTCATGGCAGAACATATCCTTAATATTTGAAGGCATAGCTTGAATCCAGTCTTCTGCAATTCTGTTAATAGGCCTAATTTTCCCATTAGTTATGTACTGGTGTAACCATCAGCAATGTCTTATTTACTTGCTTACTGCATGCTATCACATAAATTATGCGCCCTATATTTATGTTGCAAAATAAAAAAGAATAAATTCCTGAATATATTATGCATTGAAGATAACCGTGATGAAATATGCCATCATTGCAATTTCATATTCTTCATGTTTCATTGGACTGCTGGTCTTACAGATGGAGTTGAATAGACTGAAGCTACCAATGTCTTCTGCTACCATTAGTTGCATAGCCTTTGATTTTCCATCACTGGCACACGCAAAGTTGAGCTAGTTGACTGAAGGATTGTGGCTGCTTGTAGTACCATAATCACACTGCAGGTTGTAAACTGAAAGTAATTGAATATTCTGAGAAACAGCTTTATTATGTCACATGATGTGTCAGAATCTTACAATCTTCTGGTTTTGTGCTTGATACATTTTGTAGGGCCAAAATTGAAATGTATTTGAATAAATAATAAATTCATGCTATGGAACGTAGCAGAATGTTCCTGTAATTTAAGGTTCTCCTGGTGCTGAAGATGTTGGTTGTGGTCTTCTTGGTTTTGATGCTATTTGATCTTCTGGGTGGTTACGAGTGTATCAGACCACACACGACAACACAGTGTTACAACCAAGAAAAGCATAATTGAAAATTTCTTTCTTTCTTCCACCCTTATAATGTGATCTTGATAATTTTATGTGAGCATGGAACTGTATTATAAGATAGCAGATGCATATTGTACTGTCTGTCACTTGGACATTATATTAAATGCAGTGATGTGTCTTATTTATATACCTTATTTGTTAATAATTGTAGGTTGTTACAAGGGTCTTAATTGTTGACATGTACATTTTCTGTTGATTAAAGTAGTCTGATAAAACCATTTCCTTCAGTTTGTGGAATGTCGGTTTCTGACATATAGCTGTACCAGTCACAAAAAACCCCCAGGTGAATGGCTTTGTTAAGGAAATGAGCATGTAAAAAATGCTATAAACATTTTGACAGCTGGCCCTTCTGCATTGAAGTGCACCATTTCAGCTTGTTTTACCAAGCTCTTCTTTACTTTGTTGGTGGTTGATTATGTTACTTTAATGTGGCTTATTGAACTGTACAGATGCTGGCCAGGGACTTCCTAGATAATTACATATTCTTGGCAGTTGGTCGTGTTGGCTCCACATCAGAGAACATTACTCAGAAGGTAGTGTGGGTAGAAGAGCATGACAAACGCTCATTTCTTCTTGACCTTCTAAATGCAGCTGGATTGAACCAACCAAGTAAGTGCAGGACAGTTCTGTTTTGAGAGCCATGGTTCATTTCTGGCTGAGGAATACTGTGATTTTTCTCAGCTGCCAGGTGATGTAGAATTGCCCCTTCAGATAATTGTGTGGTGGCTACAGCCTCCAGTTCAGCTTCCATACAGTTCTTTATCCTTATAATTGGAGCTGTCACAGTAAATTGATTAAGCAACACAATCTTATATTGTGCATTTTTAAATTTTAATTCCAGTTTAGCTTTAGTTCTCCACATGAGTGGGTTGCTGGTCTCTTATTGTAGCATGATAAAAACATGTTACCATATGTATTCAGCATATGTTCTTCAGTCTGTATGTTCTATTCAGAATACTGTATGAAGTTGTATTTTCTTGTAAAGGAAATAGGATACATTTGTGTTGATAGTAAATTTTAATATCCATTGTTTTCTAGAAAGATTATTATGACAATGAACAGAAACAAATTCAAGTGGTGCTGTTCTGAAACTATTCTTCATTGCTGCTGAATCACTTGTTTGTGTATAGCTATTCAGTTAAAAATGTAATTTGTGACAGCCCTACTTGTTATTTTGTGACCATTCCATATTGTCATTTTTAATGTTAACTTTTCATATTACAGTGAAACCTCGATGCATCGTTTTCGGCGGGGGTGGGAAATAAAAACGATGAATGCGGGAAAACGATAGATGCGGGAAAGCATTAAAAATTTAAAAAAAACAATGTTTCTCTTTCAAAGTTACTTCTTTTTACCAAAAAAGTCTTTA